CAGAAGGAGTCCACCCTGCACCTTGTCCTCCGCCTTAGGGGAGGCATGCAGATCTTCGTCAAGACCCTCACCGGCAAGACCATCACACTTGAGGTGGAATCCTCCGACACCATTGACAACGTCAAGGCCAAGATCCAGGACAAGGAGGGCATTCCTCCGGACCAGCAGCGCCTCATCTTTGCCGGCAAGCAGCTGGAGGATGGCCGCACTCTTGCTGATTACAACATCCAGAAGGAGTCCACCCTACACCTGGTGCTCCGCCTCCGTGGTGGTCAGTAATTGCCCTGACGTTGGACCTGCTGCTATTAGTCCTGTGTCTTGTTCGTGTTAAGTCTACTGTATCTGGTTTGATGGACCATGAGTCCTGATGATGTGTGTTGGTTTCGGGGAAACAGTTGCTGGTATGGTTTGGTATGAATAAGTGAATTTGAACCAATATGCTTGTTGAATGTTTCTTCTGGTTTGTTTCTTCCAGTTTTTACAACTAGCAGTGATATCACCGTAGTGGCTCTCTGTGATTGCATTTTATGGGCTGTAGCTCTCAATGTTCCTGTGAAATCATTAGATTTTTCAAGTTATATATCGATGTTTCTTTTATCTTGGAATGCTGCTGTGTTTGATTTTTTTTTTCTATTTGCTCTGCTTGCTTGCTACTAGCCGATTGGAGTGTCTTTGCTCGTTCTTTCTGGTGGGAGTGGGGTGTCTTCAGTAAGGAAAAAAATGCATGAAGTTGTGGTGCACTGGATTCCTTAGGAAAAATTCGTGGATAATTTATGAATCAAACAAACGTACTCCCTCTTTTCATTTTTATAAGACGTTTCAGACATCTGACATTGAACTGTTTTGACTGTTGTCTGAAATGGCTACAGCGTCTTATAAGGCTTTTTCCAATGCATGGGTGCTTAGAGGTGCAAGTGCATTAAAAATCTTAGAAACTACTCCTTCCGTCCTTTAAAGAGTGTCAAACTATCTCAAAGTTTGACCGAGTTTGTGCAAAAATATATCAATGTTTGTGAAAATAAATAGGTATATGATGAAAATATAATTTATTATGAATCTAATGCTACTAATTTCATGGCATAAATATTGATGTATTGTTGTACAAATACGGTCAAACATATAAATGTTTTATTTTCCAACAATATTGGAAATACATTCTTCAAAGGACGGAAGGAGTAGTCTTCCCAATGCATATGCTTAACTTTTATAGCTAAGCTTCCCTCATAAAATTGTTTAATAATTAATCTCTTTCATATATTGGTTGGTAGTCATTTTACATAGGCTTGCGTGACCGTTTCTTCCTGGGGTCCCCATAATGCGTCCTTAGCATCTGGTCACCTTGGAGCACTGGTAAGAGCCTAAAAGTGAACAGAGGGAGTACAAAACATAGGAGAAATTTGTAAGGATTCTAATCCTCCACTATTTCTAAGAAAATTTTTTATTCTGTTCTCTAAAATCTTCTGCTTACAAGAGAAGAAATTCATGACATGGGCAGTTTTTGTAAAATGGTGTGCCTGAGTGCAAGGACTTTTACTGTCCGAATTACTTGTGTTAGATTTGCTTAGATATGGATTTAATACTTCTTAAAATAACACGTCTGATGGGATGCATCTTCTCATCTCCTTGTCTATGGCTATGGGGACGATTCTGTTTCCAATGCAAAAATGTTTTGTATGCTTATTACTAGCACTTGTGTTGGAGGTGACTGATGAGTGTGGGGCTAGCAACCACTTATCCTTCAGATGGCCTACAGGAAATTCTTCATTCATAACTCCTCCGAGCAAGGATTTTCATTTTCCTTTCCGCCAGCTTGTTAGCCAAATTAAAACATCCGAGAGAGGAGGTTCTACAAATTAAAACAGAGGAGGGATACGTGGATTAAGGGACATCTTTTGCATCTGATGAGCTCACTCTTCTCCTTTGTCCCAATGAAGCTTGTTAGCCAATCCAATTCAAAATGCTGGAGCTCTATGACAACATGTTCTGATGCTTCTGTTCTGTAAGATTCAGTTGGCGGCCGCAGGAGATAATTTAAGTGACAATAATTATTACTAACACCAGAATTTCTGCTTCAAGTAGGTCGTCGGTGAGACGGTAGAAGTACCTACAGCCCAAGAACCATAGAAGAAGAAGAACCTAGTGCAGCACCACACTGCAGCCATCACATACCGCCTGTCCTGATCTGAGCAAGAGAAGAAACTATTACCCATCAAAGCCAGCCCTCCATATGCACGCCAGCACAAACTATGCCTGGTTTCAGCTTAACCCGAAAATCTGGGACAAAAGTGCGAAAACAAAGACTAGCAGCAAAGTTCCAGTCTATTCTACGATATGTCTACAACAATATCATGCAAAAGAAACCGCTGAAGGATCGATGCACTGTGATTACACAATTTCTTTCATGGGACTGTGAGCGCAACGACGGGCTTCTTCACAGAGAAGACCAGGAACCAATTAGCTCCTGCCGGTACTTGAAACTCTAGTTTTGCATATATGTTGCAGACTGGAGCTCAACTTGTACATGTAACCAATTAACCCACATAAAAATGTCTACAACCCTCCTAAATTACAACCAATTTTACATACACCGCAAGCCATTTAGATGTTCTCCAGTCACCAAAGAAGTTCCTGAACACAGAAAGTAAGGTAGGAATTGGAGAAGTTAACTTAGGCAGCACCTCACATACACGCGGAGGAAATGCTCCAGCAGTCTTCTACTCTTCTGCTCACCATCACTAAGAGCTTATTGTTCATGTGCCAGCAGACAGCAATGCCCTCATCACATGCCATTATTTCATAAATTTTAGAACCGTTCTCTTGATTCTTCAACTGGAGTTATTTCACTGTGGAAGCACTCCGATACATCCCTGTCATTGCACTAGTAATCTTGCCATTGGAGTGCCCAATCTGGAAGCTCCCAGATCTCCTGGGACGGGGCGCGAACAGCGAACCGAGCATCTTTTCCAAACCATCCACAGTATACTTTACATACTTGCTAGCACTTGCATCCTGCTCTACGAGCGGCCCGTAGTTCTGCATGTAACTCCGGTAAGGGGGAACTATTGCCTGTATCACAAGGTCACATGTCTCCCTCCTCAAGTCCTTGTCCGGTATGATCCATGCTGACTGTTCATGGAACATCTCACTGAATCTCGCATTGAAAGTTTTAAGGCGCTGCTTCACGAGGTCCTTTGCTGTGGCACGGCCCTTGGAGAACAAGATTAGGCCCTCTCGGTTGAGCAGCGGCGAAAGCGCCCCCCAGCTATCCCTCATAAACACCGTCAGATAGAAATCCTTAAACTTCTCATGATCCCTGATCCACACATCACCCAAGAGTTCAGCCAGCTTAGTAGCCTTCACGTGCTTATAGAAATGCCAGCGTGTGTTCATCATGAAGATGTATGACTGAATCTTATTCCCATACGCCTTCGACCAAACATCAAAGTTGGCTTCAAGGGCCTTGACAATGTTAAGCACCGCGACAGCAAGCATCTTGTCACTGAACACTTCCTTGCGCCAACTGCGGTGGATGGTGAGCACCTGTGCAAGCACAGGCCTGTATTTCTCACCAAGGAGCCGGTTGCAGTAGTCGACGATAAAAGTGACCAGGCGTGGCACACCCCCATCGGCTGGGGGAGGCATGTGTCGCTGCAGCTCCACCTGCACGATCAACTCCTCAAAGATCTCAACAGAGCCATCCACCAACAACTTCACAAGGTCCCTTGTCTCGCACTGAATATCCGCACACACCTTTCCGCCGAACAACCGGTTGAAATCCAACCTCAGCTTATTCAAAGAATCAAAGACCTCAAGCAAACGCAAGAGCTTGATTGGGTCTTTCTTAGCATCCGCAGCGGCACGACCAAACCTCAAAAAATCAAGAACACTAGCTCGCGACGCTATCTCGGCGAAGCAAACTGATGCATCATCCTTGTGCTGCCCAAACACCTTGGCGCAGAGCTGACGCTCAGACTCGAGGAGGCGGCGCACCACAAACTCCAAATGCCGCCCCCACAACTCGACCCCAGGGCCTAATTCCTGGGCGTCGTCAGCTGGATTGTGCAAGTAATCGAGGCCGAGCGCATGGAGGCTGGCACTCACCACACCGTCGCGTGCATCGGCATACAGAGAGATGCAGCGGTCTTGCCGGCCATTGGCCAAGAGGCGGTCGAGAATCGGGCTGAGCTTGCGGACGGCGGCGGTCGGGACGCGAGCCGGCGCGGTGGACGCTGGGGTGGCGCCGTGCTGCTGCATCGCGAGCGGCGTGGAATGCTCGGCGAGGAGGCGTCGGAACTCCGCCTCGAGCACGTCGAGCGCGGCCGCCAGGAGGCCGCCGTCGAGGTACCCGGAGGGGTTCTTGAGCCCGTCCAGGGCGACGCCGACCTCGGCGAGGAAGCGCGGGTCGGCGAGGTCGTGGTCGCCGAGGTACTCGACGATGTCGGCGAGCCACTCGGCGGCGAGGCCGCAGTTGCCCGACAGGAACCGCAGGGCCTCCTCGAGGCGGCCGAGCACGGCGAGGTACCCTGGGAGGTCCCGCGCGGCGGCGCCGGCCTCGAGCAGCGGCGGCTCGAGCCCGTGCACGGCGTCGAACACCTTGAGCACGGCGGCGGCGGGGCCCACGGCGCGGTCGATGTGCGGGCCGGCCGCCGCGAGCTCGGCCATGGGCGCCCGGATCGGGCGCACGGCCGCCTCCAGCGCCGGCAGCGCCGCCTGGATCTCCTCGAGCCGCGGCCCCCCGCGCGCCAGCGCCTGCCCCATCGCGCGCGACCGCTCCAGCCCGGTCCGCAGTGCGCGCGCCGCCGCCGCCACGCTCGCGGCCGCCCTGTCGTCGACGTCCTGATCCATCGCGCGCGTGGCGAGAGAGGGTGAAAGAACCTGACGCTCCGCTCCGGCGGGGAGCGCAATGAGGGAGCGTGATCCTGGAGTCCGGATCCCTCCCTCTCTCCTCGCGATGGAAACGGCTGGCTGCTCTGGGCGTCCGGTGGAGCGAGAGGGAGTGGGGTTTCTTCGCCGGGTTTAGGTTGGGAGGAGGAAGAAGCTGTGTGCGGAGGGCGAAGGGAAAGCGGAGGAAAAGGGAGGAGGGGGCGACGAACTTTTGGCTTTGGGGCGTATGCAGTGCACGGGCAGAATGCCGCGACAATTTTCGGGGTGATCGACAGGAGGATGGCGCTTGCGTTTTCGTTTAGGTGATGTCAGAGGAGATTTGGAGCATCCAAAGGAAAGGACCGCGGTCGTCAACGAGCTGAAGCCAGATTTTTTTACACTATTTTTCTATCTGCTCACCGACGCCGGGCACATGCGCTAAACCAGCAAATAAATCATTTTTTTCCTTCATTGCGTGGAGTTTTACGAGAAATGGTTTGTTCACTGTTCGATCTGCCTATTTGAAGGAATGGAACCAACAACATGGAAAGAAATTGCAGTATATAAACGGCATGGGTAGAATCAATGTCAACCCTATTTGGGAGAAGATTTGGAAATTGTCTTGTCCGGCAAAGGTAAAAATCTTTATTTGGCGTACATTGCATGGTACCCTCCCATGTCGTGTTACACTGGCCAATAGACACATGAAGGTCTCGCCTATATGCCCCTCATGCACGAATGAACCGGAAGACACGAAACACGTATTGTTCCTCTGTCAGAAGGCAAAAGAGGTTTGGAACAAACTGGGGATGGGCAGGGTGATTAAAGAAGCATGTGTTATTGATAGGGCAGGAGAAGCAATCCTAGAATTTTTACTTCTGAAGCCAGATAATGAAATAGCTACTCTAGGAATCCAGAATGTACGTGAACTAATAGCTATAACCGCTTGGTATTTATAGTGGGATAGACGTAGGCTGGTTCATGAAGGTAAGGCTCAAAACGCACAACAATCATCCATGGGGATTAGGGCAATAACAACAAACTATGTAAATGCCCATTCCCCTAATACATCTATTAAAAAAGGAGGATGGAGCAAACCTCCTGTGGGACTTGTTAAGCTGAATGTTGATGCTTCGTTTGATCATGATCGGCTTAGTGGTACAGCTAGGGCTGTTCTCAGAGATGATAAAGGAAGATTTATTGCTGGCGGAAACTGGAAGTTTGACTGGTGTGCGGATGTTCTGACAGCGGAAATTTTGGCCCTAAGGTTTGGTTTATTACTTGCACAGAGGGCGGGATGTAATCGCCTTCATGTCAACTCAGACAATATTGAAGTCATCAACACAATGAAGAATGGAGGACAATCAGCGGGAGCGGCGGCGGCGGTTTTTGATGATTGCTATTTTTTGGCATGTGATTTTCCTCTTACTAGGTTTGAACATTGTAATAGAGAGGCAAATAAGGTAGCTCATGAACTAGCCAAATTAGCAAAAAATTTCGTGACAAATGACTATTTTGAGGAGCCCATGGATGAAATTGTACCTCTTTTTATAGACGATGTAACTGTTATTTGCAATTAATAAAGCTAATGGTTTATTTAAAAAAAACCATTTTTTTCCTGGCCAACGCTAGGCGCCGGCGCGCCGGCCCAAGTTTCGGCCGGTCCGCTGCTGAGCGTTGGATCCGTACGAAATCAACGGTTTACATATAGCAATGACTGAGTCGTCTTCTTCCTTCCGTGCTCGTCGCCAGCGCTCGCGCCTGTGCTTGCTGGCCACCCCCGCCCCGCCCAGCGCTCGCCCCCGTGCTCGCCGGCACCCTGAATCGCCCGCGCTCGCTCGCGCCCGTGCTTGCTGGCCACCCCGCGCTGTCCACGCTTGCTCGCGCCCGTGCTCGCCAGCTACCCTCGCGCCGCCCAGCGCTCACGCCCGCGCTCGCCGGCCACCCTGCGCCGCCCGTGCTCGCTCGCACCCGTGCTCGTCGGGCACCCCCGCGCCGCCCGCACTTGCTGGCCACCCCAGCCCGCAGCTAATCGCCGTCAAGCTTGCAGGTCCACCATGAAAAAGGATGTAGCAAAAATCCTCAACGGACGTAGCAAAAACTACAACTGTTATAACAAAAAAATGATCGCCGCCGTCAGTCACGGGATGCAGCTTGGGTGCGAATGAATGTAGCAAAATCTGTAGCGGGTTCCAGCAAAATTGCTGCCGGTACCAGCAAGAAAGAAAAGGGGTTGCAACACTAGTGTTCTAGCAAAAAAAGTCTCCTCCTTCCTCAGGCGATATTCTCAAGCGCGAAGCACCTCACCTGGTCGCCTCTCATGACGGTTCCAGCAAAAACTTCAACGGTTGCAACTTGGTGCGTACCCGCTTCCAGCAAAAATCCAAGCCGCTTCCTGCAATTCTTCATGATGGTTCCAGCAAAACTCCATAGCGGTTGCAACCAAAAACCTCGCCATCGTAGCAATTTGAATTGACGGTTCCAACATTCTACCACCACCGGCTCCAGTAAACTCGATGGGTCGGCTGCAGCAAAACTCGAGTCTCCGGTGACAACAACTTGTTTTGGGATCACCACCGACTGCCGCTCTCACTGGCCGCCGTTGTAGCATGGTCGCCGTCGGTTGTAGCACCCCACTCCGTGCCGCAAGTTGTAGCAAAAACGTCACCGAAACTCGTCGCCACGCTTGAAGCACCATGGCCTTGTGAATGGATGTAGCAAAAACACGTCGCCAGTAGTAGCAAACAAATGAGGCTGTTGCAACAAAAATGTCGTCCTCGTCGTCGGGGGGCACATCTCGATCAGTAAAAAAGCGCCATGGCCTCATGAAATGGATGTAGCAAAACACACAGACGGTAGTAGCAAAAAAATGACACGGTTGTAGCAAAAATGGCCTCCGTTGCAAAACCAGAAGACGGTTGTAGCAAAAAACTTCGCCGGTAGTAGCAAAAACCGATTATGGTTGCAGCAAATCGCCGTCGCCGCCGTCGTGAGGTTCAGCTCCACCTTGATGGATGTAGCAAAAATCTTCGTCGGTAGTAGCAAAAACCAACTATGGTTGAAACTTTAATATGTACTGTTGAAACATTTCTGTCAATAGTTGCAATTCTTTTTCACTTGCGGGGGTGTCAGCTGCAGCTCCGGCCATCGCTCGTCGCACCGCTTGGCTTGCAGCTCGCAACATCCGGTCCTGGCCCCCGTCACGCTCGACCATGGCGACAGGCGCAGGGCACGAGGGCGCTTCCATGGCGACGAGGTTGCAGCAAAAAGGGCATGGGATTGGGGTCCTGTGCTGGTTTGTACCAGTCGCAAAGGCGCGCACGGCTGCACACGAGGCTGTTGGTGCTCGCCGGGGAAAGAGGATGGTAGGTGGTCGGTTGAGATGGAAGCAAGAAGATAAGACAAAAAGAAAAGAAAAACACAGAAGACGAAGGATAGACGCACGATCCCTGTGGGTTGATCGAGCGCACGCGACGCGACCGGCCGAATCGTTCGGCCGGCGCGCCGTTCTGAAACGTTTCCCTTTTTTCTTTGCTAGCGCAACTTGGGATTTGTTTCTCTGCCACTAGTAGCTCCCATCCCATCACTTGGGTGCTCCCATGTCTTAAAAAACAATTTCAAATATTTCAAAACAATTCAAATACATTACAAATGTTCTAAAGACGTGTCTAGGACCTCTAGAAAAATTCAAACTCAAACTCAAAATACATATTGAGAACAAAATATGAAAATTGCTTTTGGAGGCCGAGCTCCATGGAGGCCCTCATCTGCAATTTTTAAAATTCATATTTCTAAGTTTCAAAAAAAAAATTGGAAAAAAATACAGGCGTAATGGAGGCATAACACACATGTATGTAAATTTTCAGGACAAAATACGTTGAAACGAGGGTTGCGAAAAAACAATTGGGCCGTTTTAGGACATGATACTATTCATCATTAAAGTCCATGAATTTGTTTTTTCTGTACAGGTCGCATTTCAAGGTATTTCATCCTGAATTTTTACACACGTATACATCACATCCTTGTATATTTGTACAGTTTTCTTGAAACTGAAAAGTTTAAATTTTGAATTTTTCAAACATTTTGGCCTCCATGGAGTCCGAGCTCCAAAATGCCCCACTCAAAAAAAATACATATTTGAAGATTTAATCTTTTGGATTGTAAACACATGTCTGGGTAATATTCACAAAAAATCAGATTTTTTTGAAAAGGACAAAATTGCTAGCCTTGGGAGCAGGGGAGCGCATGGAGAGTTCAGTCTATCGGCACTTCATCGGACCTGCTAGATCTTTTAGGAGTCAATGGCCTTCTAAGGCTTCAGCTTTGTACGGTGATGAAAACGCTGCCTTTCTGACCTTGTCCACCTCCATGCCGCGCCAGCCCCAAAGCTCGCGTTTTCTCGGCGACGCCCGGTGCTTCCCATTTCGGTGGAATGTGCAGCCCCACCCTCCTCTTGCGGTCGTGGTCTCAACCAGCGGATTGACCCCCTAATCTCTAGACCCTGAACCAGCGGCATTGGGATTGTTCGGTCCTAGGCCAGGGCAAAAGCTCCGCTTGGCTTATCGATGCTGGCGCCAGCGATACTCGTGGGTGTCGTTTCCCTTCCTGGAGACGCTGCCATGGCCTTTATCCGTGCCCCTCTTCGAGCATCGAAGGAAACCCTTGGTCTGGTTCTTCGAATCGGATGACGGCGGCGTCATGACGTCGCTCCCCTTCTTGAAGGCGCCATCTTGCCTGCTCGCGGCATCCCCGGTGTTGGCTCTGGAGATGTTCGACGTCTTGCTAGTTCGGCCCACACCTCTATGTCCTAGGCTCGGTGGGTTTAGCTGTGTGTGTTTTTATTCTTCTCTGTTCGGGCTGAGCACCCCTTGTCTCTCTGCTCTGGGCACCATGCCCACGCCTTCTCATGCATGCCGTTCGTGCCATGTGTTGTACATGTACTCATGTTGTTTCCTTCTATCAATGAATGATACACAAGCTTT